CTATCTCACTCTCTCTCTCTCAAATAAGTAAATAAAATCTTTAAAAAAATTATTAATTTATATAAAAGTTAATAGGGCTATTAAGCTTTTAATTTTTTGCATTAACTTTTGGCAAGTTTTTATATTGTTCAACTAACTAAAATTTTGAATTTATTGGAATAAAGTTAAAAAGTATCCTTACTGTCTTTTTCATTTCAGTAGATTCTGTGGAGTTATCCCCATTTTCATTTCTGACAAGGGTTTTTTTTATGCCTTCTCTTTTTCTCAGTCTGGTTAGGGATCTTCCATTTTATTGATGATTTCAAAGAACTAACATTTGGCTTTTATTGATGCTCCCATTTCTGATTGTTTTCTATTTTATTGATTTTTTAATTTTATATTTTCACCAACATTTCACTTCATTTTGTCTTTAGTTCCTTCCTTTTCCCCTCCCCTTTTTTTGGTATTTAATTTTTTGTCCTTTTTCTAAGTGGATGCGTAGCTCTTTGATTTTCAGCCTTCCTTCTTCCCAGATATATGCATTTAAAGATAAAAATTTTCCTTTAGGGCGCCTGGGTGGCTCAGTCGGTTAAGCGACTGCCTTCGGCTCAGGTCATGATTCTGGAGTCCTGGGATCGAGTCCCACATCGGGGGGGGGGTCCCTGCTCAGCAGGGAGTCTGCTTCTCCCTCTGACCCTCTTCCCTCTCGTGCTAGCTCTCATTCTCTCTCTCTCAAATAAATAAATAAAATCCTTAAAAAAATTTTTTTCCTTTAGTTCAGCTGTATTTGTATTCTCTAAGTTTTGATATGGAGTACTCTTACCATTCAGATAATGATTATACATGCTAATAAAATTCTTTCTGATTTTTATGGCCAGGGATGTTGAGCCTTGGGTTATATATGAGTGTAAATTCCTAACATAAGATTTTTTTTTTAAGACTTTATTTATTTATTTGAGAGAGAGAGCATGAGAGGGAGGGGTCAGAGGGAGAAGCAGACTCCCTGCTGAGCAGGGAGCCTGATGTAGGACTCAATCCTGGGACTCCAGGATTATGACCTGAGCTGAAGGCAGTTGCTTAACCAACTGAGCTCCCCTTAACACGAGATTTTTAAGTGATCATTTTGTTAATGATTTCTAGCTTATGGGCAAAAACGGTATTCCAGGTGATTTTGAGTCTTTGGATTTTGTGGCTTGCTTTAATGGTCCAGCATATGGCTAGTTTTCATAAATACTCCATTTTCACTTGAAAAGAATATGTATTTTATAGTTGTTGAGTATGGTGATCTTGAATTAGACCAAACTTGCTAATCATTTAGGTCTTTTATATTCATACTGATTTTTTCCCCTTTTTTTGTTTGTTTGGATATTTTGGTTACTTTATTTCCTTAAATTCTAATATAATAAAAAATGAACACATCTACAGTTTTCCTAAATTTATCCATTTTTAAAAAAGATGTATTTATTTGAGAGAGAGCATGAGATGGGGGAGGGTCAGAGGAAGAAGCAGACTCCCTGCTGAGCTGGGAGCCTGACTCCAGGCCGATCCTGGGACTCTGGGATCATGACCTGAGCTGAAGGCAGATGCTTAACCGACAGCCACCAAGGCGCCCCTTATTTTATCCATTTTAATATTTAACAGCCTTTACAAACGTGTGTCTGAATCACTTGTATTTTACTTAAGGTTTTTTTTAAATTATTATTTCTTACTGTGGTAAAATGCATATAAAAATGGTTAAAGTGATAAATTTTATGTTAAAAATGCACATGCAGGGTGCCTGGGTGGCTCAGTCATTAAGCGTCTACCTTCGGCTCAGGTCATGATCCCAGGGTCCTGGGATCGAGTCCCACATTGGGCTCCCTGCTTGGCAGGAAGCCTGCTTCTCCCTCTCCCACCCCCTGCTTGTATTCCTGCTCTCGCTGTCTGTCAAATAAATAAATAAAATCTTTAAAAAAAAATGGACATGCAGTAATTCTCTGTTTTCTCATTCCAGTCCCTGTTAACCTCTTTATTGCTTTCTATCTGCATGAATTTGTTTATTTTAGGGAATACAAGGGGAGTCATACAATATTTATTCTTTTCATGTCTGGATTATTTTACTTGGCATCATGTTCTTAATATTTATGATGTTGTAGCATGTATCAAAACTTCATTTCTTGGGGCACCTGGATGGCTCAGTTGGTTAAGCATCTATCTGCCTGTGGCTCAGGTCATGAACCCGGGATCCTGGGATTGAGCCCTGTGTCAGGCTCCCTGCTCAGCAGGGAGTCTGCTTCTCCCTCTCCCTTTGCACCTCCCCTGCTGGTGCTCTCTCAGACATGCTCTTCTCTCTCAAATAAATAAAATATTTTTTAAAACTTCATTTCTTTTTAAGGCTGAATAATATTCCATTCTTTGGATATACCACATTGTGTTTATCCATTCATCTGTTGATGGACATTTGGGTTGTTTCCATCTTTCAGCTATGTGAATAGTGCTGTTATGAACATTGGCGTATGAGTATCTTTGACTCCCTGTCTTCAGTTATTTTGAATATATATCTAGAATTGGAATTGTTTGATCATACATTAATTCTGTATTTAACTTTTTGAGGAGCTATCGACTGTTTTCTACAACAGCTGCACCATTTTACATTCCCAACAGCAATGCAGGTTTCCATTTTCTCCATTTTCTTGTCAGCACTTAGTATTATCTCTTTTGTTTATTATAGCCATCCTAGTGGGTGTGAAGAGGTATTTCATGCTTATAATTTGCATTACCTTTATGACTAATTATGTTGAATATCTTACCATTTGCTTATTGGCCATTTATCTTCTTTGAAGAAATACCTTATCTCGTTTTCTGTCTTTTTAAAAAATTGTTTTATTTTGGTTATTATATTTTCATAATTGTTAATGGCAGTAATTAGAGTTCAAAGATGATATTGACTTTCAGAGATTTTTTTTTCTTTTTATATTTTATTTATTTATTTGAGAGAGAGAGCATTAGCTGGGGGGAGGGGCAGAGAGAGAGAGAGAGAAGCAGATTCCCCACTGAGCAGGGAACCCAACACGGGGCTCAATCCCAGGACCCTGGGATCATGACCTGAGTCAAAGACAGACACTTAACTGACTGTGAGCCACTCAGGCATCCCTGACTTTCAGAGAATTTTTACTTTTTTATGATAGGTGCTTATTGAGATGAGTGAAAGTTGAACTTGTGATTTTATGTTTTTTACTTTTAGTTCTCTCTTAACTCCTGGGGAGGAGATTTTCCAGGTCCCAACACAGAACAAGCAGCATTCACTAGTGCCCCCAACCTCTTGGTGGCTCTAGACTCCAATTTCTGTCTCTGTAGTCCTTTTAAGACTGTCAAGCAGACCAACTGCCTCTTAACCTTCCTCTTGGAATCAGAAAAGGTGCCAGGAAAAAAGCAACCCTGAATAACAGACACCTTGCTGTGCCAATGCCCCTCAGTGCTGGCTTGGTCCTTTTTTACTATCTTGTTGGCTCTTGACACCTAAGAGAGCTCTGGGTTTTCTAGTTATCCTCTCTGGGAAGATTGGTTGGCGTCACCCAGGCTGTCATTAATAGGAAGGCAAGTTTTAATTTTCATGGAAATAACAATTCTTTATTGTCAAGTGCTTATTTCATTGGCTTATTTAATATATATTTATGTCATTATAATAAGTATAACTAGCATGCATGCGTTTGGAACAAACGCTGCTGATGATTGTTAACCATATAACTCAGTTGTTGAGATTAGAAATAAACAAGAGTGGTCTGCTACTTGTAGTTTGTTTTTTTAATTATTTTTTTAACAATTTATTTGAGAGAGAGCACGCGCAGGAGGGAGGGGCAGAGGGAGAGGTAGTCCCAAGGGGACTCAAGACCCTGAGGTAATGATCCAAGCTGAAGCCAGGAGTCGGACACTTAACCGACTTCGTCATCTAGGTGCCTCATGTAGTTTTTTTTTTTTTTTTTAAGATTTTATTTATTTATTTGACACAGAGAGAGAAATGGAGCGGGGTGGGGGGCAAAGGGAGAGGGAGAAGCAGATTCCCCACTGAGTGGAGAGCCTGATGCTGGGCTCAATCCCAGGATCCCGGATCATAACCTGAGCCGAAGGTGGATGCTTAACTGACTGAACCACCCAGGCGCGCCTGTAGTTTGTTTTTTTAAATAGGGAATAGAGCATATTAGTTAATCCAGGGAGCTTTTTTTTTTTTTTTTTAAGATTTTATTTATTTATTTGACAGACAGCGAGAGAGGGAACACAAGCAGGGGAAGTGGTAAAGGGAGAAGCAGACTCCCCGCCGAGCAGGGAGCTTGTTGCGGGGCTTGATCCCAGGACCCTGGGATCATGACCCGAGCCTAAGGCAGACGCTTAACGACTGAGCCACCCAGGCGCCCCAATCCAGGGAGTTTTTAAGTGGAGGTTGGATAAGAGATCTCCTCTATGAAGCTTATATATGATAGAGGTTCTTGCCTTAAGTAAACCTACTGTATGTACACCTGAAATTTGCATCATTGATGTCAGGGTTTTTTCTCCTTTTCTTTCTCGTCATCTTTAAAAAAGAAATCTTAATCAGCAAATGCCTCTTTCCTGTTTTCTTCAAGGCAGCACGCCAGGTTCTGTGAGGAGACAGTCATGAATCCTGACTGTCAAGAAAGGAAGAAAATGTTTAAAGAGGAAGAAGTTATTTAGAGAAGTAATTGAAATATAAGACATAGTATGATGGGTTAACTAAGTGTCTGGGTATAATGTTCAGGGTTCACAGAAGGAGGACTGTTTTCAAGGAGATTTCCCACTTTGTTTTGAATGTACTTAGGTTATTCTTCCAAACACCAGAGTGTAATATATTTGAGACCTTATATTCTGGTTATGTATTAAACATTGTGAGTCGAACTTGTTAGGTCATTTTTAGATATGTAAGAGCCGAACAAGAATGCTCTTTTTGACTAGTTTTTAAGATAATGTTAGTTATGTAATTATGTGTGCCTGAGGTTTTTTTTTTTTCCCCCCCTTTGGTCTCTTTATAGGAAGAGCATTAAGAAGTTGGTTTTGAAAAACCTTAACAATAGCAATCTCTTCTCTCCTGTTAATCGTGACTCAGAAGATCTAGCTTCACCATCTGATTATCCAGAAAATGGGGACAGGTAAACCGAATTTTGTTTTGGGTTGTTCTAGTAGAGCACCCTGTTCTCATTTTGAAGAGATTCTGAGCTTGGAATTTATTCATTCTATGAAAATTTATGAAGTTTGGTGAATGTGGCATAGTATTACAGATAATAGCACCTAGAAATTAATCATGTTTTTGCTTTTTGAGTACTTTAGACCTTAAAATTATTGGAGATCTTCTGATTCAGTTCTACGTAATTATTTTGATATCCATGTGTCATTTTGGACAGGGTTCTCATACATTTGACACCCCTTTCCCCCCTTTAAAATAAGGGATGTCTTATTTGTGATAATTATCAAAGTGATGCATAGTCATTGTAACTACACCAGAAAAATAAGTATATAAGTGTATAAAGGAGGAAGTAGAAATATACACAACAATCCTTAATAGTTTGATGTATATTCTTACAGTTTAGAAATTTATTTATATAGATACATTGTAGAGACTAGGCATGACTGAGAATATTTTATAGCCTGCTTATTTCCACTTATTTTATTTTAAATGCATTTCTATATCAATATATCTGCCTCTTTTAAAAAAAAAAATTTTATTTATTTATTTGACAGAGACACAGCGAGAGAGGGAACACAAGCAGGGGGAGTGGGAGAGGGAGAAGCAGGCTTTCCATGGAGCAGGGAGCCTGATGCAGGGCTCGATCCCAGGAGCTTGGGACCATGACCTGAGCTGAAGGCAGATGCTTAAGGACTGAGCCACCCAGGCGCCCCTCTGCCTCTTTTTTTTAATGACTTTAATAGCCATCTTTGTGAATATATGATAATTAGTTCCCCATTGGAGGACATTTAGATTATTTTGGTAATCTTTTTTTTTTTTTTGAAGATTTTATTTATTTGACAGAACGAGACACAGTGAGAGAGGGAGCACAAGCAGGGGGGGTGGAAGAGGGAGAAGCAGGCTTCCCGCTGAGTAGGGAGCCCAATGCGGGGCTCAATCCCAGGACCCTGGGATCACGACCTGAGCCGAAGGCAGACGCTTAAAGACTGAGCCACCCAGGAGCCCCTGTTTGGTATTCTTATGTTCAAAATAATGCCTCAGTGAAAAATTCTATATACATCCTTGCGCTCCTGTCGTTTTTTTTTCTTCCTTGGATAAAATTCTAATTTAATGTTTCCTTAATGAAGCATAATACCTTGCTGATGATAATATTAAAAATCTAAAATTTTTCGTTTGAAATTCACCACTCTTTGACCTTATATAGTAGAATGCCTTTTTTCTTTTTCTTTTTTTTTTTTAACTAAAAATTGGGATGCTCAGATTCATTCATTCATGAAAGTAGATGAGTTGTGATCTGATCATGAAAATAGATCATGTAATCTACAGCCAGATTTCTTGTGTTAAAATCCCAACTCTAGCTCTTAGAGTTGTTTGAATTTGGGCAAGTTATTTTATTTTTCTCTGTCAGTTTAAATATATTTTTAATATGTAGAATTACTCAGTAAAGGTTCAGTGAGGGTTGGCTGTTATCATTGTTATGAAGGGCTAAGATACCATTTGTTTCTTTTCTACTTTTCAGATTCAGTTTCCTGAGCAAACCTGTTGATGAGAACCATCAGCAGGATGGAGATGATGATTCTCTTGTGTCACATTTTTATACTAACCCTATTGCCAAACCTATTCCTCAAACCCCAGAGAGTGCTGGAAATAAACACAACAGCAGCAGCAGTGTGGATGATACCATTGTTGCATTAAACATGCGTGCTGCCTTGCGAAATGGGCTGGAAGGAAGCAGTGAAGAGACCTCTTTTCATGAGGAGTCACTGCAGGATGACCGAGAAGAAATAGAAAATAATACTTACCATATGCATCCAGCAGGTCAGATACAAATTGATACATGGGTAATGTTTTACCAGTCATTTGAGACCTCTTACTTTTCACAGATTTTCAATTTGCTGGAAGTCAGCTACCTGAACTTTTAATTAAATGTCTTTATTCCTTTTTTTTGTTTTTAAAGATTTTATTTATTTAACACGGAGAGAGAGGGGGCAGGAACACAAGCAGGGGCAGCGGGAGAGGGGAAGGCAGGCTTCCCGTGGAGCAGGGAACCCAATGCGGGACTCGATCCCAGGACCCTGGGATCATGACCTGAGCCGAAGGCAGTCGCTTAACGACTGAGCCACCCAGGCGCCCCATGTCTTTATTACATTTTATAGACGTTAACATTTAAACACTTTTCACTTACGTTTTGTTTGATTTTTTTTTTTTTTAAGATTTTATTTCTTTGACAGAGCACAAGCAGGGGGAGAGGGAGAAGCAGGCTCCCCGCTGAGCAGAGAGCCCAACACGGGGCTTGATCCCAGGACCCTGGGATCATGACCTGAGCCGAAGGCAGACACTTAACCAACTGAGCCACCCAGGTGCCCCTAAAGATTT